ATGTTTGTGCCATTGATCTCTTACCTGGCACCACTCCACCTAGGGGCAGTCTCTATTCTCTGTCAAGACCCGAACACACAGTCATGCAAGAGTATCTAAAAGAATTCCTTCAGGCCGGTATTATCAGACCGTCAGCATCACCACCATAAAAAATAAATATCCTTTACCTCTCATGTCTACAGCGTTCGACCTCATCCAAGGTTCCAGTCTTCTCTAAACTTGACCTTAAAAATGCCTATCATCTGGTCCGCATCAGGGAGGGGGACGAATGGAAGACGGCGTTCAACATACCCAATGGACACTACGAGTATTTGGTAATGCCTTTTGGTAATGCCTTTTGGTCTCACCAACGCTCCAACAGTTTTTCAGGCTCTTGTGAATGACATTCTAAGGGACATGATTAATCAATTTGTTTTTGTCAACCTGGATGATATTTTGATTTTCTCCAAGAACGTAGACCGTCACCGTCAACATGTCAGAGCTGTGCTTACCAGACTGCTACAAAACAACCTTTTCGTTAAAGCTGAGAAGTGTGAATTCCATCAAATCTCCACTTCCTTTCTGGGGTTTGTTATCTCGCCAGACCAGGTAACCATGGATATTAACAAAGTATCTGCTGTTCTTGAATGGCCCATTCCTAAAGATAGAAAGCAGTTACAAAGATTCCTTAGCTTTGCTAATTTCTATAGAAGATTCATTAAAGACTATAGCATCATTTCTGAACCATTACATGCTTTAACATCTTCCAAATCAAAGTTTGTCTGGAATGAGTCAGCTGATCTCTCTTTCAATAAACCCAAATAACTGTTTTCTACTGCACCGATCCTCCATGCTCCTGACCCCAACAAACCATTCATTGTTGAGGTTGATGCTTCTAGTACTGGGGTAGGAGCGGTTCTTAGTCAGCGTAACAGCAAAGGAAAAGTTCTCTAGGAGCCTTTTTGCTGCTGAATGCAATTATGATGTGGGGGGGATAGGGAACTGCTGGCTGTCAAGCTCTCCCTCGAGGAGTGGAGGCATTGGCTTGAGAGAGCCAAGGAACCTTTCATTGTTTGGACTGACCATAAAAACCTTGAGTACCTCAGGACCGCTAAGAGGTTAAATCCACGTCAAGCCAGGTGGGCTCTTTTCTTCTGTCACTTCAATTTTGTATTATCCTATAGACCAGGAACAAAGAATACCAAGCCCGACGCCCTGTCTTGCATTTTGGAGGAGAGCGATGCTACTAACGTCAGTTCTGAGATTTAATTTATTCTGCCTATCCATAACCCAGCTTGAATCAGACCTCCGGCAGGCTAATCTGGATCACCCACCTCCACCCAATTGCCCTAGAAACCGGATATTTGTTCCAGACAAAAAAGTTAAAGAGGTTCTGGACCTCTGCCATAAGTTTCAGATGTTTTGCCATCCTGGGGTTACTAAGACCCTTAGTGTCATCAGATCCAAGTTCTGGTGGAAAGACTTGATTAAGGATGTCAAACAGTATGTTTCCTCTTCTTGTTCATGCAACCAGGCCAAATCCTCCCATCGTCCTCCTGCTGGCCTACTCCATCCTTTACCTATCCCATCTCGCCCATGGTCCCATATTTCTATGGATTTTGTCACAGGTCTTCCCCTCTCCTCAGGTCATACTGTTATTCTTACCATAGTAGACCATTTTTCTAAGATGGTTCATCTTGTCCCTCTCGCTAAACTCCCTTCTGCTAAAGAACTCAGCATGATCATGGCTAAAGAGTTGTTCAGACTTCATAGCATACCTTCTGACATTGTTTCTGATCGAGGGTCTCAGTTTATCTCTAAGTTTTGTCAGGAGTTTTGCAGTATGCTGGGCATATCTGTCAGTCTCTCCTCAGGTTTTCACCCTCAGTCTGATGGCCAAACGGAAAGGGTTAGCCAAGAGGAAGAAGCTAAGCTGCGGCTACTGTATGAAAGGGATCCTAGCAAATGGTCTACCAATCTCCCCTGGGTGGAACACGCCATGAACTCCCTGCCCTCCTCAGCAACTGGTTTGTCCCCGTTTTATGTGGTGTTTGATTTCCAACCTCCTCTGTTCTCTGTCCAGGGCAGAGAGGCCCAGGTGCTATCAGCTCACCAAGCAGCCATGAGGTGCCAATGCACCTGGAGGAGAGCCAGGAGGGCCCTCCTCAAATCCTCTGCTACCTATGTCAGGGGGGCCAACAAACGCTGCTCCACCCAGCCAACTTACCAAGTGGGCCACAAGGTTTGGCTCTCCACCAAGGACCTTCCCCTGTGGGTGGAATCACGTAAGTTGGCTCCCTGGTTCATCGGCCCATTCCCCATCACTAAGGTCATTAACCCAGTAGCTGTTCGCCTTCAGTTGCCTCGTTCCCTCAAGGTGCACCCTACTTTTCATGTATTCTGTCTTAAACCTTTTTTGAATTCCCGTTTCGGATGACCCTTAATTTTCTCTTGTTGAACACAGACAAAACTGAGGTTTTGGTTTTTGAGGTTTTGGTTTTTGGACCTGAGCACCTTAGGAATGACTTTTTCAGTCTTTCTCCCTCCTTAGATGGCATTAATCTGTCCTCCAGATCTAATGTTAAAAATCTTGCTGTTATTTTTGATCAGGACATGCCTATTATCCCCCACATTAAAAATGTTACTAGAACCACCTTCTTCCACCTGCATAATATCACTAAAATTAGAAACATCTTATCTAAAAATGATGCAGAAAAACTGGTCCATTCATTTGTCACGTCTAGACTGGACTATTGCAATAGTTTATTATCTGGATGTCCGAATACTTCTTTAAAACATCTTCAGTTGATCCAAAATGCTGCTGCCACAGTCTTAACCAGAGTTAGTAGGAGAGAACATATCTCTCCAGTTTTAGTTTCTCTCCATTGGCTCCCTGTCAAATCCAGAATAGAATTCAAAATCTTACTTCTAACCTACAAAGCTCTCAACAACCTAGCTCCATCTTATATATACGATCTTATGTATAAGATATATATATATATAAGATCTGTAGATCTTATTGTTCCATATTTTCCTAACAGAGCACTTTGCTTTCAGACTGCAAGTTTACTTGTGGTCCCTAGAATTTACAAAAACAGAATGGGAGGAAGATATTTCAGTTATCAGGTTCCTCTCTTGTGGAACCAACTTCCAGTTTCTGTCTGTGAGGCTAGCGCATTATCCAGTTTTAAAACTAGGCTTAAGAGTTTCCTTTTTGATTAATTCTATAGTTAGGGTTGACTTGTCATGCTGTCTTAAGCTTAGACTACTGGAGGACAAACTGACTTTATTTCATCAAATGAATAGTTACCAATTCATACAAATAAATAGTTTGTATTTGTAATCATTCTTTCCTAACATGTGATTTTTGTCTTCTTGTCTTTCCTCCCAGAGAAAAGCTGATGGCCTCCATCCTGGACCTTGCCAATTTGTGGTCGTTTTCTCCTTCCTGTCCTCTCAACCTCAGCCAATTGAAGCAGATGGCCGCTTGTCTTGAGCCTGGTTCTGCTGGAGGTTATTTCCTCATGAGAGAGTTTTTTCCTTTCCACTGTGGGAGACTGCGACGAAGTGAAAACTCAAAGCAATCTGTTGGCTCCTTAGATAAATAATGTTATTAATTGACTTTATATGTTTGTGAATGTTTCTGTTCCGCCCTCTGAGATGACTTCTGTTGTGATTTGGCGCTATATAAATAAACTGAATTGAATTGAATTGAAGTGCTGAACATGGGTTTTAACAGACTACTAGAGTAATCGACAGGTCGATTCCTAGGATATCTATAGAGTTTTTAAATTTCACGTTGAGTATTCGTAGTGACGTCATTACGTTACAGTTACGTCATTGCGTCACATGTCACATGATCCGCACCGGGCTACTAGTAGAAGCTACCAAATGGATTCCTCCCAGCAGATGGACTGAGCAGAGCAGGCCCAATCTTGGCAAACAGTTAGAAATACATCAATAGTCTGGAAATATTTCACCAAAGATGAATCTTCCGATTCAACTACCGTAAGGAAACAGAAAATGAATCAACTTCCTGACTGTTTGGAGCTCGTTGCGAACCGGTGTTACACCATATTCTGTGACCACCGTATATTGTTACCGTAGGGGGCAGTGTTGCATGCACTGTTGCAGGTCACAGAATATGGTGTAACACCGGGTCCAATGACCAAACCAGAACCAGCTTCCTCTGACCTTGTTTCACAAACAAAAAGCAAAACAAAAATTACTCTCTAAGCCTATAAAAATCCTATAAACATATTAATCTCTAAAACTAAACCTAATGTGCACCACAGCTGGTGGTGGTGTGGGGTGGTCGTCCGCCCCACTGTTTTTAGTTTTGTTTTTGACGTGCCACACGCTTCTTTCACTTTTGCAGCTTAATAATAATAACTAATAGTTTTGGTATTCCTGTGACTTATTTGCTGTATGATAAATGGTAGGAGCATAATATATGCTCCCGATGTTTTGTTGGTCTTTTTTTTTGTAAATAATAAATTACGTTTTTTTGCGGTTTTATTTTTATTTTTAATATTTTTTCTTCTTGAGAGCCTATGACGTCATCAATTACTTGAGTTCTACTTGAGTTTTATTATGTTAATGTCGAGTTTAAAAATTATGTAGTCGTTCAACCCCTAGTTAAAAGTGAAAACATTTCACAAAAAATAAGAAATATAATTGAAGTTTATTAAATAAATTATATGGCGGAGAATAAAAAACAGAAATGAGACTAGTCACAAAAAAGTTTACACACATATGTGAGATGTGTGCTTGTTTGCAAAGTGTGACATTGCAGTACTCTTGTATTCATGATGGAGGCCTACATAGAAAGGCTTGATCTGTAGTTTTGTTAATTTTTATTTCCTGAAGTTTTTTTTATGTCTCTCAATCAACATTTATGACTCATAAAACAATTATTGGTGTACTTTAGTTGTTGAGTAATCTGTACAACTCAGAGGGTGTGTTTGTGTACTTTCATGACACGTGGACAGTTGATTTACTTCTTTTGATGAAAGACCTACCAAAGATCTGATGGAGACCCTTGCCTCCCGGTCGGCCTCTTCTTTCTCTCTCCTCATCTCTTCCAGATCAGGAGTCAGATCACATGCTCCCTTTAGACGAAGCAGACCTGCAGAACAGTACAGCAGACAAGAATAAAATCTAGTGTTGTGTACAGAGAAGCTAAGAACTGAACAAATTGCATTTCCTGTGAAAATGCAGTGTGAATGGTTACTGCTGAATGAATTTTGCTCAAATCTGCTAAGAAATTGAAACCAGAATGAAAAGGTTTTGTCACTGAATTGTTAATGTGAGTTCTATCCTGATGCATGCTCAATAATCCAGGTAGAAAAATCTAAAAAAAGTTAAATCTGGTCCTCTGGACATTCAAAAAAACAAAACAAAGCAAATCAACAAAAAAAT